TCCAACTACACTAAAGGGGGGTCCAACTACTCGCGAGCGCTTGGACCCCCGGTCCAAATAGAAGGGGGGTCCAACCACCCTCCAACACCGGAGCTCTAGCATTGCAAACTACGTCCGGTTACCGGAGCTGTAGACACAGCCATAAATAATTGATGTAAGGCCACCGCGATTAAATTCATTGTTTCTCAGACTCCACCTGCAGCGGGCGGGCGGTAGTTATAGTTATTAGTTAAAGTTATTAAAAATTATTAAAGAATTATAAGTGCATTTTTCTACTTTCTCCCTCTACTCAGCTTTTTAATTTTAGGTTGCCTGCAATTAGAACACTGTGGATAATATAAAGAATCATTAGCTGTACAAACAGTACCACAATGAATGCAGATAGGCTCAAAACCTGAGGAATAGTACAACTTTTCTATTTTATCATGGCAATTATGTGTTTTAATACAAATTGTATTTAAAGACTCTGGGAGATTTATTTCATCAAATGCAGCCCCACATGTGTACGATATATCGTCTAGTAGTCTTGATAAATCTGCTTTGCCTTGAGGACTCAATTTTTTCTTTGAGAATATGAGGCGCCACATGCTGCATTCTTCACATTGTATAACAGTTCCAGTATTCTTTGCATGCTGCTGAGTTACATTAAATCCAAGATTTGCTTTGCTATTTTTAGTTAATTCTGATGGAGCATATGAATTCGATGTATCTGTCTTAATTACAGACTGAAAATCTTTGTAATGCCCATCTTCACCAATAACAGGATTCGGCAAAGTATACAAGTCTACATAAAGAAAAAAAAAACAAAATCATAACCTTTATGCACTACATTTAAATGAGTCATTTTTGTGTAATTATTGGGTTACAACTTAAAAAATTAATAAAAAATGATTGCTAGCAAATATGTGATTCGTAACTATCATGGTTAATACTTATTAAAGAAAACGTATTAAAACGGAACAATTATTAGTAAAACCAGCTATAAACTCACATACGTTACATGTACATATGCACAAAATAACTGTATTGACTTGAAAACCTCTCCATTGGCATTCTAACAGTCTTACAGATAGGGCATTCGTCTTGGCCACACTTCTTAATTGTAACAGCATACTTTTTAAAGCTGCAGCAGTGCTGAATGAATTTAACTAATGAAGGATAACTCTTTAGTGCCTCCTTAGAGGGACTGTCTTCTGTAAGGAGTGGTTCTATAACTAACAAAATGCTCCAAAAATCTTCAAGTTCAGTCTTTGATGCACTGTCAAAAATCTGAAATGCCTTCCCTTTTAACTCCAGCCGTTGCAAGGTTGAGTTTAAAAGTTCCTTTACAGGTTTAAGTGTTTCAATTACTGCATCTTGGTGATCAACACAGTTAGCTCTCAATTCTTTTAAATTATTGCTGGCTTCAAACTTTTTTTCAATCTCTTTTCCCATTTCTGTCCTCATTATACCAATACACTGCAAACCTAAATTAATTACGGACATCATTCTTTCTACTGGATTAGCCCAGCTATGTGATGGAGCAGTTCTGCATGCAACAAGAATATCAAGATCGAAGTTATAAAATAATGCTATCAGTGACAACTGAACACTCACGTACGTGAGACGATGGTCCGGTCCACCATCAGAGTAGAGGAACAAAGCAAAACGATTGGCCATGTGTGGTAAAAGACAGTGATAGAGTTCTGTTGCATGTCTAAGAGGAGAGGACGGTTCAAATATAGCATCCTTGATTCCAATAAAAACTTGTCCTCTGTACCATGACCCATCCATTGATTCAGGAATATCAACTAGAAACGTGACACTAGGTATTACACTAAATTTTGTAAAATCATGATCTCCAACGGCATATGTTTCATTTAAGGAGACAATAACTTCTCTACCTCTCTCCACAGCCGCCACAGGAAAACCTGGCTCTCCCACTTTAATTCGATGTTTGTCATCAATACACACAAACTGAGCTATATCTCTTAAAGTAATGGCATATTCTCTCATATACCTGAAAAGTGCAGAACAATAATGTGCATCTATATGAGATTTCCTGAACTGACGTCTTTGTATCATGTGCTTAGCCTCTAAACGGCCTCTGTAATGTCTAGCAGCATGAGTATGAACGTTTCTTGGTAAGAAATTATAGCGCACCCAAGAATCTGAAGGTATTGGTGTCCCTTCAGGGCATAATTTAGCCACTTGTTGCTTCAAATCCCTAATAGAAATGGCCTTTGCCATAAATGCTGCAGTATCATGACGACGTTCATG